TCGTTTACACGCTGCTATCTGATCGGAGTTGGCTGCATTCAGGGAAACTTTAACGGAGCCAGCAGTCATCAGCACTTGTAATTAGATGGAAAATCTTTGTGCATCCACAGGCTTTTGAAGAAAAGTGAAACCACTTTGGCAAACTTGTACCTGTCGAGTCTTGAGGTGCTTTGAGTTGATAAGATTTATGCACTTAAATGTTTAATATATGGCTCTTTCTTAATGCATGTAAATACCAAGATCTATGTACTTTGCAAGCAACAGAATCTACAAAGGTGTATTGGCCATTTGTTGGAGAGACAAATCAGACTTTGATGTTAACAAATGCATCTTTACTTTCCGTCCATCTTTATAAGAGACAAAAGCTGGAGCTCATTGAGCAGAAAATATGGTTGTACATCCAGTAAATAATCTGTCAAATACAAATGTGCTATTCTTTGATGTTGACAACAACACTATCCTTCATGAAAACACTGAAGACTGTTAGTGCTAATGGTTTGTAATGGATGGCAGACTGCTGCAGTTGCTGATGAATAGCAACGGATGCTTTCCTCCTTTCTGGCTGCTCTGTCAATACCCAACCTTTCACTTTGCAGAGTGTGGAGCAGAGGTTATACTGCTAAGGCCCTGTTTGCTTTTACTTACAGTGTTCACATGAAAGCCCAATGTGCTAAAAGCATGTGAGTCTTCAGTTCTTATTATTTTAATGTATATTTAAAGTCTTCAGTCTTTACTGGCATATAGAAAACGGTCTGTCAACCCCCAAGCCTAAGCAAACTGTTAAAATAGCCAGCCTATCACCTATTTACTAGTCTGACCCACTTTGGTTGAAATAACATCAGTAAGACACTTGTTGTTGCCATTTGCCAGTCTCTAAGGAAAATGGCCTAAGGAAAGTTTTACTGTGAGATGTTTGAGGGGTTTCTTGCATGTAATGCCTGTTTCAAGTCATCCCACAGCATCTCACTGAGATCTAGATCTGGGCTTCAACTCACAAAGTCCTTGGTGGATTTAATGGTATCTTTTTTCATTCTTATGTTGCAAGGTCCAGTTCTGCTCCAGCTTGATTTATTTATTTATTTTTTTTAATTACAGGTGGTCTCACATTTTTTGTTACTATTCTAATTTTGGACTCCTTAGTGTGTTTAGCACTTTCAGAAGTCATTGTCTTTGTCTACATTCAATTGGGAATTTATGTTTTACCCAGAAAGCGAATAATTTCTATTGTCACATCTTTTCTCTCAGAAAAATGTGGTTCTTCTTGGATTCCTTCCACACCCACTGTTGGCATTTTCTGAACTTGAATCTTATTTAAAAAGTCAGTGGAAGAATTTAATGATATAGGTGGCGGAGGGCTTCTGGTCAAAGACTTGGAGCTCATCATCCACTCATCAAAACAACACTAGAAAAAGGCTAAAAGATGGCCAGTGATTATAAGAATGGTTTGATTGCTGTAATGCTAATAGAGTTTCCCACTGATTAGTGAGGACATATTCTTCATTCTGTGTTAAATGACAATGGTCCTCAAGTTCATAAGCAATTGTATTTTTAATTGGCCTTGACATTTGGATGCTGGTGATGACTCGTATAAGTTTATTATATTTTTCTATTGTTACACTACATAGTGCTGTGTCATCCAAGCTTGTCAAGTCACCAAGTTCATTTTTGTATTTTTCGATTTCAGTAGACCAACAGGACCGAATACTCTTTCTGTTTCTCTGTTTCTGGATGTCTCATAAATTGCTTCTCTAAAAGAAGCGTTGAGGAGAGGCGAAGATGAAGGCAGGGTAGCATTGAGACAGCTAGTGAGCCAGTAAATGCATTTTCTGACATTTGGCTGCTCATAGTTCCTTGCCCAAAGCAAATAAGAAAACAGTTGAATTGAAGCATTGTTTAACTTGCGCAGGTTAGTGAAGCCGCTGGAGTAGACAGAATTAGGTCTTGGGGTGGGAGGAAGCAGAAAAAGTGCTACTCAAGCAGGATAGACGGAGTTTGCGACCAGAGTGAGCTTCAGTAATCTTGTATTTTTGTCTTTTGCAAGCATACAACATGGAACATATACACATCTTTTTCAAGATGGGCTTCTTCATTAAGTGAGCTGGCAGTGCATTTGACTAAAACTAACTCTGTGGTCTTGCTTTGATGACCGTGTGTATTCATTCGTGCACAGAAGCAGAAATGGACTGTCACAGGTGTAAAGCCTAAAGATATATCATGTGCTTACAGTATATCAACATGTCACGCCTGTTCAGAGTCGGTGCACGGCGTGCAGAGATAACCGGTGTTGCGAGGAACAAGAAGGGACAGAACAAATGCAGTAATAAATGAGAGTGAGCAGATGTCGTTTAGTCAGACTGATTCCAACTCTTTTGCCATTTACTGTAGGGGATAGGCCTGGATGCAGCAAAGCAATTTTTAGCATCCCATGACTGACTGAGACGACATCACACTTTTTGCTATTTTTCCTCCATATGTGTTCACTCTGTGAACGCTGCAGCAAGCATGTTACAATGAAAATACTTCTATAATGTCTGATTCTTGATCTTAACTGGGAGTGAATAAATAGAAAAACTCTGTTTTTGAGAAGATGGTCCAAAATTAATTGTTCTCATTTCAGATTTTTTTTTTTTTTTTTTGCGCTTTACTTTGACCCCAAATTTAAAATAAAGTGTTCTTTCCTGATCTTTTCATACTCGGCTTGTTTTGGCAAGAAGAGTAACCTTCATGAACTTGTGAGCACAAGCAAATCTCTTTTGAAATAAGAGAGTGATTAGAGGAATATTGTGATGTGGAAAATGTGCAGAGGGCAGCAACAGTACTCTGAGTTTTCAATAATGAGGCAGTTTATGTCTTCATCTTCAAGATGCCTGTTGCGTTTTATCCTGCTAATGACACATTAAAGCTTTAATTTAAACAGTAAACTTGCATCTACTTTTCAGAAATTGTCTGCAGTTTATTGGTCTTAGACAAACATTCACACACTTGTGGTACTGATGCTACTTAATATGATATAATGCTGCAAATAAGAGTCAATTCTGTTTTAAAGCAAACCTTCTGGTTATATTGGGGATTTTATTCTCTCACAAAATCAAAGTTTTTATTGCCTTTCTGACCATGCCACATCCTTTTATACCAGCCATGTGTAATGTGAAAATAAGATAAAAAAGAGATTCACCAATTCAGTGAAGCAATTCCACTCCAAAAAACACCAAAAATTGATATTTGTTATCCTCAAGTTCCATAGATGTAAATATTTATTTGCATTGTGGTCCAATGCTGGGAAGAGGTGTACATGCCTCATAATTGTGCATATAAGCTCAATTATGATGTGAGGACACTACGGGAAGCTGCAAGCATTTAAGGCTGCTGCTCAAATGCAAGATGCATTTGTCACAAAGCCAAATTGTCTATTGAGATGTTCGCTGTTTTTTTTTTTTTTTCAAAATGGTCTTATGTGTTGTATTAACATTTTTTGTGTGTGTTTTATCAGTTGGACCTCAGGAAGACTAATAACCAGTTTGGTGGAAACTAATGGAGATCCTAATGTTGACTAATGAGATGTCTACTTAGGAATACATATATTTTCACACGTAGGCATAGATTTGTTCTCTTGAACCTCAGCATATACCGTCAGTGTTTCAGGCACACACACACACACACACACACACACACACACGCGCACACACACACACACACACACACACACACACACAGACTGACATGCAAAAAAAACATTAAAAGCAAAGCATCCTTGGGTGCTTAAATTAAATGAGTTCTGTGGAAGTGCTTTGTTCATGCAAAGACAATACATGAATGGACACTCTCTTCAGCAAGGGTCATAGAAACAGGATGAACAGAAATTCAAGGGGTCTTTTTTGAATGCACAAACTTGTCTTTTTACGTGTTTTGGTTTTATAGCTTTGAATGTACCCTTTAGATGAAAGTGACAAATCCTGCCAATTTTCAAGGTGTCACTACTTTCTGAAATTGTAGTGCCTGTTCCCACTGAATCACAGATACAAAATGAAAGGACGAGCTTTGGAGACTGTTGAGTGCTGATCAACCAGCAAATCTTTTTCAACTCTCACATCTTACCAAACTCTTGTTGTGCTTTTCTCTCCATTCCTCTTATTGCAGTATTGATTTCCATCGCGTTACTTTTCTTTTCGGAAAGATTACATTTTCAAACTGTTACCTGTGGTTTTCAGCAGAGAAACTGGTTCCACCGTAGTTCACTGTGGAGGTTTTGAAATGCTTTTCTTTTCAAATTTAACGAAAAGGTGTTTTTGAGGTCACACTTTTATTTTATTGTTGTGTAAGAGAATTCTTAAATACAATTCAAAATTTCTTTAGAACACATAAAGCATATTACTCTCTTACAGACATTTTTGATTTGATTGGCACTTAAATGTTTCAAACATTCCAAAAACATTTCAAATACAACAAAGTCAAAGAAAACAGTGCTGCAGGTTAATAAATTCAACAGTAAAAGTATAAACTGTGAGAATTTTAACAGTGACGCATCATAGTATATATACCCAATCTTTATTTAAAATGTATTGAGTTTTAGAAAATGTTCATCAAATTGCATGCTTTTGGTTATTATTTCGATACATTTGGGGGCGGGGAGGGGAACATCACATATTTTCTTTGTTTGACCTGCCAGTCACTGATTAGAACCAGTCAGATCAAATCAGTCAGGTGTATTTGGTTGCAAGAAAACCCACTTTACCGCAAACAGCTTCTTTGTGCAGAGATTTTGTTCTTGTGTGAATGAGTAATGGAGTTGTTAGAATGACAAACTTGCCATATAAGTGATATAAAAACAGGGTTTTTTATGTACTCCAATAGCAAGGTTTGCTTTTCATCAAATATTATGAATGCACTAAAAACCTCCGCCCGGTTGCTCTGTTAAGACATGGGTATTTTACATCTGCCTCCCCAAGTCCATATTCATTCAACTTGTGCTATTTCCTCCCTGTTCGTGTCTACATGTGCAGCTTTAAGGGACAACCGGATTGAGCTCGTGCGCGCCACATCGTCAGAGTTGACCATCAGCATCAGCGACGTCACACTGGGTGATGAGGGCCTGTACACCTGCTCTCTCTTCACCATGCCGGTCAGAACAGCCAAAGCTTACCTCACTGTTTTAGGTAAGAGCATTTTATACAAAATTGCTGCATGATGTCTTTGTCTTTCTTTGTAGAAAATGTTTCCACTAACGCCTTTGTTTTGATTTAATATGGTTAAAACGGCATGTTGCTTTTGCCTGCAGCTGGACACAAAAACATACAAACAAACAAAAAACCCAGACTGTTAATACCACTCCTCCCTTTCAGACATGTTTGTGTTGTGATCATCACTTTACACAAACATTGCTTCATTTCCTGCCTCTGGGCTTATTATCTTTCCAATTAGTTTTTTGCTAATGTTAATAGATGTGCTCATGCACTCCAGGACCATTAGCTAGCTCTCTGTGTTAACAAGCGTTCTCAAAATTAGAGACATTAAAGGCGACCGCTCAATAAGGATGTGGGGGAAATTATTTTTGCAATGCTGAACAATACTTAATGTAGCGCGCCAGGAAACAAAGACGCCGATTTAATAATTATACAAAATGATCTGGGAATGGCCTGGTTTTATCAGCTGCTACATCAAGACACTCAGTGCTGGCAATGAACACAAGTAAAAATGATTTGGAGGAAATGCTCAAACGGCTTCACACTCAAATCTGTTGGACTACACATACAAATATGTGTTTTTCTGTTAGAAGATGGAAACAATTACTCGTGTAATACTGACACAGATGAAAGCAGTGGAATAATCAACCACTAAAAATACTGTATCATCAGATTCATACTTGGAGGAAAATTTACATGTAATGTATTCCTTTCCAATTCATCACATCTCACTCAATATCACAGACATGACTATCCGATAGTTCATAAAGAAAATCCTAATATTTGAAGTATTTTGGATATGTGCACAGAAATCCATTAGAAATAGTTCTTTCTCTAAGTTTACAGCTGTATGTAGAATAAACTTGGGTTTACCCATTTTCAGGTTTAAATGATTCATAGGGCAAAAAAATGATAGTTTGATTTAAAAAAAAAAACATCAACAAAAAAACATTGCTTTAAAATAATCAGGTACCGGCTTGTGTATTACTGGGAAGAAAATGAATAGGAAAGTAGTTGATGCCTATTTCAGAACTTTAAAAGACAACTATTGATCGACAATCATGATTAGGAGATTACACTAAAGCCTGGCCCATTCAAATCAAATGATAAAAAATGAAACCTGGCTGAAAAAAAAAACAACTCACTCCTGATGTTATAAAAAAGACAAACCAACAGTTAGTTTCATATGACATTCAGATTAAATTTAATTTAATACAATTGAAGACTTTAATTTTAGCCATTAAAAACTAAATTATTAAAAACTAGAGTGCCTTGGAAAAGTATTTATGCATACATCCCCACATTCAAAGGCATAATGTCCAAATGTTTTATTTTCAATGGCCCTAACCTTTTTTGTGCAAAATGAACATGACTACATCAGAACAATATTGTGTCTGATCTGCTCCTATTTGACGTAAGAAAAAATAAAACTACAGTAACGTATCCACAAAATTAGGCAACATAACTTAGATAGAACAAAAATGTTTTTCTGTACTGCAGAACAATGCCATTGAAAACCTACAAAATAAAATGTGATTCCAATTGTTTCATTACATGAGTAAAGTCAGTTCTTGCTGAATATTGCAGCTTTTGCTGACATTGTGTATCCAGCTTTTACCCATCCACAAACAGTAACCATCAGGTCAATGTAACTGTGCTAATAAGTTAGCACAGTCTGTGCACTGTGCTAATAAGTTAGCACAGTTAAATGTGGAGGTGGTTAGACAAACAAGGCAAGAGTCGGTCAATGGCATTGACTGACAGACCTTGCAGTCACTCAGCCCGAGGCAAACCTATTGCTCACTGACAACAGAAGGGCAGATGCAAGTCACTTAAAACACTCATTACAGGAAAGGCCAGTAATTAACATTTTCTGTACAAGCCTGTGGCTTCTTACCTGATCATGAGCTTTTTCTTACCCACATGTACACACATTCAAACTAAAACAGGTTTTTCAACTTAACCTTTGTGTCTTGATTGATGCCTTTTGGGCACTGGCTGTTACCATGGTGATAGCATGTCAATTAAAAAGTCTTCCTGCTACAGTTATTAGTGTACAGGAGTGTAGCCATGTGAATGTTTTTAAAACACTACTATGTGTTTAAAATTATTTCTTTCATTCTCTCCAGCCAAACTTTCTGTGAGCTATTTTGCAAAGAAGATCAAGAAAACATTTTGATGTCTAAATCTGCAAAGCTCATGCATACATACCCCAAAAGTCGTACTGCTGTTGTTTTTTGTTTTGCAAAATAGAAATGAAAATTATAATTTTCCTTTCACTCACCAATTATGTGAAAAACTGTGTTGATTAATCGCATGTAAAGTCAAAAAAATACACGAATTTTTGGATATGTAACAGAGTGTGAAAGAGTGGTGTGTATACTTTTCCAAGTATACTTTACTTCATGAATTAAGGCAGGGTTACATAAAACACAGAATTACAGTAAGCAATAAGCTATACGGAGAGGTGGCAGTATTTTTTATTTTTTTGTAAACAAATAATAAGCAAAACCTCTTAACTGTATGCCAATAAAATCCTGATGTGTCCTGGAACTGTTTGGTGAAGCTCTGGAGTGTGCTCCTTAATCTCTCTGCATGTGGGTAAGCTACTGAAAAAAAATCCCAAGCAGCCATAATAGAATTATTGCTGCATAATGACAGACTGTGGTGCCTGAACTATTTCTATTGCTGTGATTTCCATTCCATCATCCAGGTGTGCCAGAAAAGCCGGAGATCAACGGCCTGACAAAGCCAGCCATGGAGGGGGACCACATCACTCTGACCTGCATCACTCAGGGAAGCAAGCCCGCTGCCGACCTCCGCTGGTTCAGGAATGAGAAGGAAGTCAAAGGTGCCTCATGTCTGCATTTGTATTTAAATGCATCACGTCTGTTGCTGCACAGATGCTGAATGATACCAGACCGACCGAATAATTGGTGGTATTTATTCAACACCAACACTAACAGTAATTTAGTGCTCACTTATTTCAATATTTTTAGTATTACCAATAGTAACCTGACTTTATATAATTTATTGTTACACAGAGTGACCTATTTCAAACAATTTCTTCTGATTATTTTTGATTAATATGGCTTACAGCTAATGAAAAACAAAAATTCACTTTCCCCAAAAGTTGAAGCATTATAGAATACTTCTAAAAAAAAAATAAAAAAAAAAAATTGAAATGTTGGTTGGTCTATTAAAAAGTATGTACGTCTTTGTGTTTGACCTTGAAGCACTGACTGCAGCCCCTTTACCTTGTAATTCTCCCAACATTTTCTTCAAAGGACGTTGTTTCTCAGTTCTCTAGACAGTTGCTCTCCAGGTCACTTGCTTGTCTTTCCTTCCACTCAACCTTCCAAATTAAAATTCTCAATCACCAGCTTCTTCAGCAACGACCTTCTGTATCTTTTCATCCTTGTGTGTCTTGCTGCATCTACAGGACTACTTATTAACTTTTTTATTGGTCCCATAAAATATTGTTTATAGTTTTGCTTCTTTGATTGACCTACTTAAATAAATTAGCTTTTCAGTAATATTTAATTTACTGAGATGTTCCAGTACGTTCCTATGTAACTTCACAAGGAGAAATTTCTTCTAGCGGTTTCTTCTTTTATTTTTTCTATGGATTGTGTAGTGATATGTGGTTCCGCAAAGCTGCTTAATATAAATTGTGGATAATTATGTATTAAAGGTAGTGGGAGGTTGTGCTTGCTGGAACATATTTTGCATTGATATGGTATTTTAGGTTTGAATAATGCACACAGCAATAGTCTTTTCCAACCCCCCATCAGATCATTTTCCGAAACAAAATTGAATCCCCATTGGGCCAAAAGAAGCAACTTTATTGTCCGTTGTTGTTGTTTACAGATGTTCCATCAAATTTATGAGTTTGCCAGGAACAAATACAACCTTGGCATGTGCAAAGGAAAAATATGATTAATTGCTTTAAAATATTTTACACATTAACATTTTCTAATTAATTAATCAAAGATAACACATTAGAGTCCCAATTAAAAGTTACCATATTACTCTCTTAATAAACTCTTAAGTCCTTTGGCAGGTTATCTAAAATAAGAACCATTACTAGTTTAATTGGAAAGGAGACATGAGCAGCACAGAGAAAATCTTTGACTAAAGAATCAGAATGGACAAACTCTAACTCGGAATATATGAATCAAAGATAATATGTACATAAATGAGAATATATGAAACCCCAACAGAATACATAAATCAAATTGCACTCTGACAGAAGAATACCATTTTGCAATAACATTATGCCTCTTTACTGCAGAAAATTCACGTATCCTGCAAACAAATGGAAGTTCACTACCTACTTACAGCAACTTCTGCTCTAGAAGTTGGATGCTGCCAAAATTATTCATCTCTCTGCTGCTCAACTAGAGAATAGCTCAGCTCTGCACCAAGCTGAGTCCATCGCATCCATGCCGTCTGGTGGAGTTAAAATTACTTTTACAGCACTATGTGACAACGCCATGTAGATACCTTGAAGCATCCAATCAGAGGGATTCAGTCACATGCAAACATTTTGTGGACTTGGATTGTATGTGCACTCAAACTTCTGTTCTTCAGTCTGAAGTTGGTTGTTTTTGTGAGTTTTGGTGTCAGTCTCACTAACACTCCAGTATGTAAAGTAAAAGTAGTCCTCTCATAAGACTAAACTCTCCAAACTTTAAAACTCTATCCTCTCAGGTACTGCTCAACTCTTTTTCCTCCTCGTCCTCTTGTGTGAAAGTTACTGAACTTTTCTCTGACACATTGACAGTTACATCCTCCTGCATCCAAATTCTGCAACTGAAAATAAGAACAACTTTTTGGATATTGTTTTCGTCACCCAGCAACCAGCACTATAAGCTTGGAGATAAATTGTGTCTGTGAAGCTTTGTGAATTACCTCCCCTTTAGAGGCAACACAGACCACTGTGAAAGTAGTACAGCTCCATCCATCTATTGATCAGTTGCAAATACAGTGCATGATCTATTCAAGAATATACTTTGTGACTGATGAGCTATGCAGTCATATGTCAAATTACACTTTACACTATAATTTATTACTGCCATTATGTAACTGCTAGTTAGTTATTTATCCTGGAGCAGATTCAACATTTACCCTCTGACCTAAGATCACTGCATTAGCTTCATCCTTGGTTCTTCTGCGTTACTTATTGATTTGATACCATCATCACTTATAGCTATTAAACCAACAAATCTTGAAATTCTGACATTTATGTTGATCACAATCTGCCTTTTCAAACTAAAGTGACTTTTTAGGGTCAAGCAATATGTTGTGAGAAAAGTAACTGCAGAACTGTCTTAGTGTCGTGTATTACAACAATATAGTAACAATGCCTTATAAACATGCATCTGATAAATTTGTGTAATATATTCAGCTCAATCCTGCTTTGGCTACTGCCAACTGAACTCTTGTGTTTGCTTTCTTCCTTCTTCTCTTTTTAAAATATTTCTCAACTTTATGTAAGAATGTTCACATAGCTGTTGTTAGCGTCTGTCCAAAATGTGCCTGAAAAGGAAAAAAGTTGTTAAAGTAACAATGTGAGCTATGCCTTTTAACATGATCAATCATTAGTCTTGCAACTTTTTGAACAAAACAGCAGAAAGGCATCTGTGATATATTTGGAAGATCAGGGCATAAAATGATTAGATTAAGATTTTCAGCAAAAAATGAAACAGATGCTCCACTGACTCAGCCAAAACCTGCAGATGGGAGACACTCACAGATCATCAGCACAGTTGCAGAACCTTAATAAATGTTATTTGGTTGTACAAGAAAGTAAAGTGTGCAAATCATGAAATGTAAATCAACTCTTTTATTTTTTCGTAAATCAATACAAAATTGAAAATGTAAATATAAACAACCCTTTAAGTTACGTGATTGCATGAATAGATGTCAAAATCTTTGCAAAACCCACAGGATCACTGCCACTCAGTAATGAGAATAACAAGCAGTCAGGTGCTGCACAGCCTAAATCTCAATTAGCTGTTGTACAATTTGGTTTATAGAAAAGGATTTCAAATGCAGAGCTCAAACGCTTCACAGATATGTGGTTTATTTTTACTGTTCTCATGCGAGGGATTATTGAACCAGAAAAAAACTTTTTTTTTTCTTTTTCCCAAAGCGTGCATAATTTTTATTTTCAATAAATTAGCATGTTTATTTTTTCTGCTTTCAGAGACGGACACTTATATCTGACACAAAATTGTCCCTCTAACTAACTTGATTTTATCTTAGTATTTTTGGAATCTTTCCCCTATTTGCATGACTTAGGCAAAAAATGTTTACCTCCTAAGTGAAAACGAAATGGGTTGCTAGTGCTTGGTATTCTCCTTATCCTGTGATCTCATTAAAAAGACCATTAAATTTTCCACTAATTAAAGAGAACACAACAATCTATCACCTAATTAAAGATATGATACATGTGGGGTGTTTTATACTTTTTCAGTTGCACTAATTACTATATATTTGCAACATATTACAAGAGTTCATTCTCTACTTTGTTATACGTTGTATTTCCCATCTGAAGAACAAGCATATACAAACAATACAAAGTACACTAATTAGCAGCGTGACCACTTTTCTTAACAGGCTTATTTAGTCTCCAAGGGTGAATAATGCTTCTCCCAGTAGCCCACTTCTGAGGAAAGAGCTCCCAGTACAGAAAAATATAAGCTACTTGGGATTTGATGCATTTTTAAATGAATTAATTTGCCACCAGAAGTTTACAGTTTGCTCCAGATAGTTGTAGTTAAGGTGATCTCTAGAGGATGTGCAATTTTATTGATAGTAGTTGCTTTTATGGACTCCTCGGGTGATTATATTGGAAGTGTTGTGTGTGTTGATGTCAGAAGGTTAGTCACAGCGACAAAGCTGTTCTCCCTTAATTCAGAAAGGACAACATGTCTGTATACTCCACACTGCAAGTTCCTTGAAGCACCTGTAAAATTCATAAGGAATCATGTGTTTGCATACCAAAATGACATGCGTTAGGAAATTTTGAGAGTCATTTAAAGACACTTGTCAGTGGCACTTTTATACTAACAAGTGTGTATGACAAAAACACATCCAGTTAATAAGGTGATTCCACTGCAAGATTTCTCAAGTCATTTGAAAGCCATAGTGGAACTTCTCTGCAGCTATAAACACTTTCAGAAAACCTAAACTATATATATATATATATATATATCTTGTTCAAATAAATTTTAATACATTTTAATTTGCTTCCAATAAGCTAATTTCCTTTTTTCTAATGATTCTCTTGGCGGTGTCGTTTCCCGTACATGTCTGTGTTGATTGTCAGTGGTCCATCCAATGAAGTTTCAGTGTCTGCGTGCCGTCTAATCTGCCCAGGGCCTTCAGAATCAGGAGAACAGGCCTGTGTTTAGTGAACGACACAGCAGTGAAACTGCTCTTTTAACCACTCAGCTTACAGAGCTTGCTAGAAGGTCCACAATGACATGAGAAGTTTCCACCCTCTGATTGGATGGTCAGAGTGAATCTATCACCCCAAAATTTGTTATGTGTACATTAATAATTTTGAGTTCGTTATTATTTTATACCCACAACGGCTGACAGAGGAGGAGAATTTGATTTGGTCTCGAGATGAATTAAAAATCAATTTCTAAGGCAGACTGTTTTTCCATAGAACTGGACATCATAACAAATGAGCGGTCCCGGCCGGTGTTTGTTCACCACTTTCAGGCCAGGAACTCTTCGAGTGGCACCACTAGCTTACCGCCTCTTAATTATATTGCTGGAAATGCCTGCTATTTGCAAGTGATCGACTCACCAGAACTAAGACAGGACAGACATGAT